TATATTATCTTATCTTATATTATATTATATTATATTATATTATATTATATTATATTATATTATATTATATTATATTATATATATATATATTTGTATTTATATGTGTGTATGTGTATATATACATAAACATACATGTATCTATATAATATGTATGCGACTACTATGTCTGCGTTTATATGCGCGCGCGTGGGCGCAACTACGCACGTGGGTGCGCCTCTGACTGTCCGAGCTTAACGCTTGCATGTAGATATCTTCGCACACCTCTTGCATGTGCTCAAGGACTCCTTGCTTATGAAAATATGAACGTATGTGTGCATGTGCGTACGCACGTACGTACGTACGTACGTACGCTTGCACTAGATCTTGTCATTTGCATCCGGGGCACCGCGTCGGCCTCAGCCTTCACGGACTCGCAGGGATACTTGCCGCTAGCGGCCTCGCCGGAAAGCATCACGGCGTCGCAGCCATCGAACCTCGGGACTGGGAGATGTTGGTTTTGAACAGATGTTCGTGTGCCATAAGGGTATACGCCTAGTGCCCCAGAGGCATTTTTACGCTCTCACAACTCGGATATGCCAGGCGAGGTTAGAGGCATTTTGAGATTTCGACTCTCACACTCGCACCAGGCAGGTTTAGGGTTTAAGCCGTCTCCAATCGGTGCTGCAAAAAGGCACGGCGTTCTGCAAGTCGCTCACTTCTGCTCGAGTAGGCACCGGGTTCTCGATCATGCTTTCCTGAGCACCACGAAGCAATGGTTAACAGCGGCTAGCAGACTGAATACTCCTGCCGGGGAGTGCGGCAGCCACGAATATCATCAGTCGTCAAGCCCACCGGCAACTCGCCGCAGTGTTATGGCTGGCAACAGCCGGCTGCTTCGAACCCCGATCCACAGCCAATCCAACTGCAGTGCGAAGTTTGAACCACGGCGTTTGAGTTCGATTGGCCCGATGGTTTGACTGGAATATGAGACCGAGCCACCACCATCTGAGTAGCATTAATGACAAAGAGGCCGGCCTGTCAGGACAAGGATTCTCAGCAAACGACTCCCAAACGGTCGCCTAACTTTAAAGCCGTAGATACGCACACTGCAGACCGGAGCCAATAGTAAAGACCGAAACCCAACGCCCGAACTACGTCGCGGCAAACATGATATCACAAGAAAGCACCTGCACAAGCCAACCCTCGATGTCAGCAGAAGGTGGCCCGGTAAACGACACTATTGTATATAGTTATAGACCATCTGACGACAACCACAAGTACATTAATTCAACGACCAACAAACCAGCTAGAATTCGAACAGAGAATTCCAGAACAAGGACTGAGGAACAAGCTGCCTCAGTGGCACAAGCAAGGAAGGATTCAATCATCTGCCCAAATAGAAAACCAACGAACATTTGCTGCAGCACAACTTTCCCTGGAGAAGCAGGGAGAAGTTTAAGTGCAGGAATTGCTGGCGTTCCCATCCCCAGCCGACAGTCCTATGCGAAAACAAAGAAGAAACACCAGGGAACTGACTGGACATTAGTTCCCAGCAACCAAGAGAGCACTCGATGGAATTTAGCAGCACCCACCTCAACATGATAAATCATGTAGCAAACCTTCAATGGACAACCGGAAATCTTTCCAGCATCTGGGACAACATGCGAGAATGATCTAAACCCAGAAAGCTCAAAGCCAAATCGAGACGCCGATGTAAGAGGAGATAGCATAACACGCCAGCTTAAGCCAGAACTTAATCGTCAGCAATGAGGCAACCTAGACCTCGAAGCCGCAATTGAGCCTTCTTGGCACGGGCGATGAGCAACTTCTGGGCGAAGGGGACTCGCTCCAACTCGAGCTCCACGCCCAAGTCGCCCCTTAGGATCTCCAGGTTTGGGCTCAAAGGCTGCAGGATGCAAAGAGGGGGCCTAGGCAACTTCGACACAGCTCCGAGCATGCAAGCGGCAATGCGAGGCAGGATTTAGGAACGAAGTCTCCCTGCGTTCTACGAAGAAGCCGGAAGGCGAAGGGACTCAATCCCAAAACTCCACTCCTGACCTAGCAAGATGTGTTACTCTAGTAATAGGTTCCATCGCCTACTTCGTTCCACTGCCGTGCCCGGCCTGGCTACCATCAGCGCCTGAGACTTCTCAATGATCCCTTCGATGTTGGTCAAGGCTTGTGGCTTCTCAATCTTCGGGCAAATTTTCCTCAGCAAGGCAAGAAGGCGGCGTGGTTTGTAAGCCTGCTGAATGCGATGCTCGCATGGAGGCAAACACTAGCAGAACTCGACGACGACCACAACGATCAAAGCGATCACAATGAGGACCACCACCAGCACGAGTTGCAGCTGCCGCTGCTGCTGCTACTCCCACCACTACCACTGCCTTTTTACTGCTGACGACTACTGCCTTCAACAACACCGCATACAATTGTCCGAAAACATTCTGGAACATGCAACAGCATCCTGCAGCTACATATGTTTTGGTGTCCCTTGTGGCCCGGCGAGACTGGCAGACCAAGATGCGGTCGCCTCTCGGCTGGAACCTTCAACCGGTCCATGATGTCAATAAGTTCTTGCAGATCCTGGCCCTTCTGGGCGAAGGACACCTGGGGCTTGGGCAAAGCTTGGGAGAGCGAGCCGAGGCAAGTGCAACAAGTCCGAGACCCGAACGCAAATGTACTCGACTGGAGGTTCCAGCTGCAGCAAATATTCAGCATCTTCAATATCCTGGCAGTCTTTCGCGGATGACGTAACTTCACGAGACCCCAAGATCTTTCGCACCTTCTCGGTGAGGGCGGCGCAATCGATCTCGCAGTCAGGCACGTTCACGCCTTTACGGGCCTGGCATCTCCGCAAGCGACATCTACCAAACTGAAGTCGGCGCAACAAACTTTCTGCTGCAGCTCTGGCTGCTGCGGCTGCTGGCTGCTGCTGTGTTTTCCTGCGGGTTTGTTACAAATGGTTTGAGAGCTGCGTTGCCGTTCTTACAATTGCACCGGTACTTTCCTTCCGCACCGTCACGATGCTTCGTGTTCACCTCTCTTAAACTTAGACGGAGGCCTTGAGCTTTCCGCCACGGACGACCTTCACCTTCAGCTCCTTGCAGGGCAGGGAGAAGGTTTCCAAGACAGGGAGGGCCCAAAGAAGCCAAGCCCGGAAGCAAACTGCAGCAAAAGTTCGGTGTCTGAAATCTTCTCCACAACGTTGACCTGCAGCCGAGCACGCGCGCATAGGCTGTGTTCGGCTCTTTCTCTCACTTCTTCCACAGGGCGTAGGGGGGGGCGCGAAACCCCCTGGCCTTCAAAGACACCCCAAACAGTCTTTCTCTCACTTTCTTTCGGCAGGGTTATGGGCACAGGCTTTCTCTCACTCTCCCTCTCTCTGTGCTTCTTCGTCTTCTTCCACACTCCCTGTCTCTCTCTCTCTCTCTCCCATTCCTGCCCCCGACATTCAGGCGCTCAGCATGCCGGGTGCATGGCGCGATTAAGCCAACAGAGGCAGCTTGCTTCATGCTCTTCTTTCTAGTTCCATTGATCCTACCGCGAAAGCTAGAGTCATGTTCGAGGATGCCTGAGGCACGTGAGCATCAAAGCTACACCGCCCTGTATGCCCTTCACTCGACATCCTCCACCTGGACCTGTAGCACACACACTTCCAGGCAATGCCTTCATGATGCCATCCTCAATGAGAAGATCCTCGGCTGGTGACTGACGTCTCGCTACACTATCATTCCATCAAACATTTCAAAACGGGGTCACTGCACATGCGCGCAGTATCGCTTGGCGGGGCTCGATCCCAACCTTGCATGCTTTCACCAGCGCCAGCTGTTCTTTGGTCGGCTTCATCGTGATGCGTCCAGGCTTGATGAGGTCGTTGTCGTCCTTCGAGCACGATGTGTGACTTGGCTTCGGTTCACCTCGCGGTCAGAACGGTCCTTGCAGATGCCGAACTCTACAATCTCCCCATCCACGAGTGGAACAGGCTCACCGGCTAGCTCGCCCACGCGGAATTTGGGTCCCTGACAGAGGGGCGATAGGGACTGTCCAAAGGCCCTGGGAAGTCTTGGAAAGAAGGGGCCGGGCACTGCCCAACAGCTTTAAGGCTTCTCTGGTTGGGCCTGCAGGTCTCCCAGCACCTCCACGCGTCGGCCAAGCATCCTCGCATACTTCCTGACAGCTTCGTGTAGGCTTCCCGTGAAGTGTGATCCCGATTGAGGTGTGGTTTGGAGCTTCGAGCTAACTTCAATGCGGTGAGCTTCCTTCCTTCCTTCCTTCCTTCCCGGAAAGTTGTTCGTTGGGGTGTGTAGGCAGGACGCGAAGCCTGAACTGAAGCTGCAGAAGCCCGTAGCGGCCGGGGGGGAGGGCCTGTCGATTTCAACGTGCTGTCGCAGTGTCGCTCTGCAAGGTCTACCACGGATCTCAAGGCTGGCATGGACGATGGGATCCGGAAGCCTACTCCGACCTGCACACATGCTAATGCAGAACCCACTAGAGTCTCGCAGGCTGGACTTGCACCGGCGTCTGCTGGTAGCCCTTCTTTTTCCCAGGCAAGCGGCCGAATCAGCGGATAGACTCGCTCGAAGTCCCCACCACGACGGTGCGAGCAATTCAAGCGGAAAATGTCCTGTTGCGGCCACGCCGGCAGAACTCTCAGACTCCCCGACATCACAACAAGAGCCTAACCTCTGAGCACGGAATGGCCGCTGAAAGCCCGGTATGCAAAGCCAAATGCGGCAAACCCGGCCAAGAGTCTGTTCCGGCTTCGATCATCTTGGGGATCATCTCCTACATGCAACAAGACCGGCTTCGATGTGTCTCGCTGTGCCCGTCTTGGATTTTGCGACGTTTCCTGTTACTTTGATGCTCTCGCCGCTCGAATGGTCCTCTGCCTTAGGCCTTACTGGTCTTAGTGACTTAGTGTACGAAGTGTCAGTGCGCTAATGCCAATGTTGCCGATGCTGCAGCAGCAGCAGCAGCAGCAGCAGCAGCAACAGCAACAACAACCACAACCACAACCACAACCACAACCACAACCACAACCACAACCACAACCACAACCACAACCACCACAACAACAATAACAATTACTACTGCTAGTGCTACAGCTAGCGCTACATGTACCGCTACTGCTACTGCTACCAAGACCACCACTACGGCGACTACGGCTACTGCTATAGCTACAGCTATACTGCTGCCACTGCTCCTCCTGCTGCTCCTACTTCTGCTTCGGCTGCAGCTACAACTACGACGACGACGACCACCATCACCACCGCCACCGCCACTACCACTGCGATTAGGACTACGACGACGGCGACGACTACTACCTCCATCACCACCACTACCACCACTGCGACTATTGCTGCCACGACCACTATCACTACGACTCTTACGACTACGACTAGAGGACTTTGCCTCCAGCCTGCTACTGCTGCACAGGAAAAGCGCACCGGCGTGACGGCAATTTCATTGGCTATTCCCCCCTGTCCTCGCTCCAAGACGCTGGCCCCAGGCTTGCGACGATCTTTGTCTTTCCTGGGAAGGCTCATCTTCCAGTCGGCACGAGGCTTTGGATGTGGCTGTCATAACTTTCCGTGATCCAAATGCTTCCCTTGCTTTCCGTTTCACGTAACACAGAAATACGAGTTCCCACAGTTGCTGTCAGAAGCATGCATACCAACGAAAGGCTGTCACATTGCTGAGCCCTCCACGCTTGCTGTGATCCAGCTCCTCTGTAGGAGGCACTCTCGTGGCTCGGGCAAAACTCAGAGACAAGCATGGCCACCCATAAAGACCCCACCTTGGACCCTCTTCTCATTCCAACTACAATCTTTGCAGCAGGCATGCAGCTTCCCTGGGGCCACGAATTATCGCAAAATATAGAGTCTGCTGCGCAGACTTCGCTCTCAGACTGCTTTCGGTATGCATGCACCCCGCCAGGAAACCATCCGGATGCCCACCTCAAATCCTGTGGAAGATCTGCAAGCCACCCCTTACATATAGTCCTGAGACTTCAGCGCCATTTTGCAGTCGAGGACTTTTCCGTTGACACCTCGGAATTGGGCAGCTCGCGCAGTTGGCAGGACTTTGCACCGGCAGCTACTGCAAGGTACCAGAGCTCTGAAATGCCCCGACAGTTCAGTGAACCAGCAGGACAGGCCCGTGCTTCTGCCAGAGTTACACAGGTGTCACTGCAGACTTGGCGCTATATTTGTGGAGGATGAGCGCTAGAGTGAACTTCACATACTCGGGGAACTTGATGAGGGAGATTGCCTGAGATGCAATGCAGAGCGGATCTGTATCAGTTCTGCTCTGTAAACTTGCACGAACAAACGCCGGAAAAGGCCCGCATCCCTGCAAACTTGCTCATCATGCCGGGGTGCTGGCTCCCCTTCGCGACCGCACCCAGTGAACCCATACACGGAATCTTGCTGCAAGGCCCAGCCGTGCCTGGATTCAACTGCAACTGCTCGGGATGATCAATCAGCAAGAGCTGCACTCCGGCGAAATCAGGAGATCTTCGCCGAGGCGTCTGGAAATCCTAGTCCTACTCGGAGCCTGAATCCTGAAGCTATCTGAAGCTCATTAAGCCTCCATCTTGCAGAGTGCCCTCCGAGCGGCTGGTTCTTGAGGATGGCCTGCGAAAACGACTCCGGGAGAGCCTCACGGGCGTGCGTCGCGCATGGCCGGTGAGGCGGACGAAAGTAAAACACTAATCAAAGCTGCAGTGAAAATCCACCGAATCTGTCATCACCAGATTGAAGCTCTGCGTTATACAACCACTTCGTGCTCGCGTGCATGAGGTGATCGCTTGTGGTATGTGTCTCCTAACTAGGGAACATTCTCACAGCGCCTTGCGGCTGGTTCTCATCTTTTCTGATTTCTGCCACTTGGAACCCCGCCTCGAGGAGTGCTTTCCACAGGTTCACGCCCTCCAACTTCTCGTGCTGAAAAACCTGGGGCTGCTTGAACCGAGATCCTAGACTTCCACGGAATCACCCTCCGAATGGACAATTTGCTGCCGAGGGGCATCGTACTTCTTGAAGATTGCCCAGCACCTTGCTCAGAACATGATCAGTGCTAGAGTTAAGTTTCGAGAACTCTGAATTCATCCTTGGCACTCGTCAACAAACTCCTCAAGGCCACGGAGCAGTGTCCAAGCGCAAACATGCAAAGCATAAACCTTCGCCTTCGAACACCGAGGACTCGTGTGTTCAGCTTAACAAAAGGGCCAACCCGCGTCCTTGGCGAGGACCTTGGTCCTCACTGCCTTTGGCAGCCTGTGCTAAGATGACAGGCAAGACCACGTCAAAGCTTGCGTCGCTCCCCCCAGCTGAACGACCGTGACGAAGGCCTCGTCAAGAGCTTGCTGACATTGATATCCTCGCGCCGATACATGGCCTTAGAGTAGGGGCGACTGACCAATCTGTCCCGGCTCGGCTGTTTCCTGCAGTCCTAGGCACTGTTGTCCACGGTATCGAGGCTCAGGTGGGCGAACCACAGCACGTACAATGCCCGAAGATTGGGTGAGCTGAGCTAAAGCAGCAGCGATCATCTATCTCGCAAGTGAGGCTACTCTGCCAGCGAGCATGCATCATCGCATCAACTGGTAAGTCTTTGCAACCTGTGAAACGAACAGGAGGCCTCCGCGAAAAGCCCACAACCTTCAAAAAGCTGAACTGGCCCCAGATCTCCCAGCAACAAATAATGGAGCCTTCCGCATTTGGCCATGACATCATGCGAGAGCCTCAGCGGCACAGAGCGACGGACATGAGCTGCCTCTGAATACTGGGGCACCCGATCCCAAAGGTCAGCTCATGTGGCAAATTGGTTGCAAGAATCTGCATGTGCATTCTTGTGGGGCGCTGCTGGTAGACCGCAAGTTCAATATGTCCCGAGAACAGCGCAAGCCATGCAGATAACTTCCGCGAGGCAGTGAAATATGATGTGAACCAAGCGCAGCTGCAAGACTGCAGCGTGATACTTGCATGCGACGCTCGGACCTAACTCGGTTTCTACCGTAAAGACGAAATGAACCCTAAAAGGGTTTAGGGTTCATATACCATAAAGGGATTCATAGTACAAGGGTGTAGGGCCCCTGCTGTTAAGGGTCATTTGGTCCTGAAGGTAGGCTCGGAATGCACGTTGCAGCCTGTGGCTTTGGAGAGTTTGCGTGGGTGCTCTGCAGGCTTTGCTAAAGCTCGGCCGAGCCAAAGAAATCGAATCTGTCCAAGCTTCCAAACTGCTTGAAGCGTTCTGCCTCCTTTGCCGTCTCAGCACTATCACACCCCGCTCTCCCTTTACCACTCCCGAGCTCTGCGAGTTCAAGAGAGGCTGGCAGGCGTAGGCGACGCTCGCTGCAAGGCCACTGCAGGTGAGCGCTCTTGCCAAGAAAAACGATCATCGCCGTTCTTCGCCGCGCGCCTCCGCGACAGTGGAACCTGGAGCACCAGCGTGCCTTCAGCACCGACTGCCTGCTCAGAGCCTTACAGACATGGTTACATCAGCTATCATCAACTATGTCCACGACATAGTCGGCTAAATGCTGCTCTTCATCAACACTAGCCGTGTGGATCTGTTGCGTTTTCAATCGTTGTGCTCCATCCAGGTGGCCCTCTGCATCCCGAATCCTACGGAGTCCGGAGAGACTCTGCCCTGCGCGGACGTTTGCAAACGCTGGCACCCTCCTCGCCGAAGGGCCCCGCCTGATTTTCACAGCCACAGTGATTTTGCTAACTCCACCGAAAAGTTTCTTGCATCTGTGGCAGGTAAACCTGTCTGGACGAAGTCTTGCTTTGCAAGACTCCGTCAGAATGACACAAGCTGAGAGCGTAGCCGCTGCAGTAGATACGTTTCACTTCGTGCACGAGACCAGTTCACTGGTCTGCAGCTTGCCCAGCTCGCTGTCAGCAGAAACATGCATTAAACTGAACACAAGCCCTTGCCTGAGCTTCAAGAGTTGTTGGTCCCGTCTCCGTCATTCTTTCGTAACAACTCTTGAATGGGCCCTCCTCGAGCTCGAAAGAGAGTGCTGTCCCTTTCAAAGTCAGCACATCCGCTTTCGGAGCGTGCACTTTCCAGCATTTCCCCGGCTTTCGGACTGCGCCGGCGTCCTGCGCAGCGGCGCAGCCCGCTCTCTCGGCTCATCTCAGCTTCCAAGGGCGAGGAACATCAAGCAAGTCTCGGTGTTCACGAAGGCCTGCAGCCGAGAGCACAGGCGCTTTAGGTTCCACAAACACGAGGCAAACTGGAAAGGCTTGGGCACCTTCAAGAATTGAGACTGAGGCATCTGGAAAGACTCGCAGAGGCGCACCTGCAAAAAAAAACTGTGAACTGAATTCCAGCTTGGATGGCGATACGAAGAGCACACTGTCTGCCATCGCCGGGGCAAGAAATCAAGCAATGCAGGCCTGCAGAAACGAGCTTGATGCTTGCGCAGGCTGTGCTGGCTCCCTTTTCTGGATTCTGGGTTCTGCTTGCATCGCAAGTATATGGAAGGGTGAGATCTCTGAAGGGCTGGCCACGGCAACATGAATGTCATGCCCTACCCTACAGTAGCATATAGGGGCCTAGAAAGAGCTCCCCCAGAGTGTTGGAAGACGTCTTTGCGGAACCATCCTTCGAAGGCTCTAAACATCCCCCCTCCTCAGACTGTCGGCAACGGAAAGGAACGCACAGATGCCGGCATGTGCCGAGACACGGGGTAAGTTTAAGCCTCGGACATGCAAGAAGGGGGTCGCAGAGTCGCAAACACCAAAAAGAAGAGAAGCAGCGGTGCGGCCGAGAAGCACTCGTGTGCAGGAATGGAGCTTCACCTCGTAGGTCATCTCCTCCTCCACCCCGAACTGGGACTCACCAGCCGGCACCGGGTACCGGTAGGCTAACCAGGTATACACAGCCCCACATGCTGGTGCCACGCGGCACTGCCCGAGCCTGGGATCGAAGAAACTGTTTTTAACATCCTTTCACCCAGCAACCTGATCCCGGAGCAGGCCTTTCAAAGTGGCCAGCATGCGGCGCCATGAAAATGCTAGTAAGAAGGCGAGCCTGGGTGTCTCGTCGAATCGAACGCAGAAACTCTCGCTAGGGCGCTACCGGATGAGTCTTCGGCACACAGGCTGCCACACTCACCATGTCGCCGGAGGCCATGGAGCATGGAGTGCATGCGGCCCCTCGGTCTTGGGGCCTGCTCCCCAGCTGAAGCCCTCAGCTTCGCTGGCACGCGGAAGCAGGGAGGGTAGGCCTCTCAATATGCACAAATCACGCTCCAGCCTCGGCAACGGAAAAATTCAAATGCAAGGACGGGTCAAATGCCGGAAGGAGACGCAAGCAGGCGTGGCAAACCCCTGGCAAAGCAAGGAAGGGAAGGGTAGGTCTAGACCAGGTCAAGGTGCTCAAGGAAGTGTGTCACTGAGATCAGGGTCTGCGAGCTGCTTGGACGATTCACGGCAGTCTTCCGGCAGGGTAGAGCAATACTGCATCTCAGGAGGTACCGAGGTAACTGTACAAAGGGTCTCTGACCCTCAACCTCCTGAGCAGCGTTGCATCCGTATGCTCTTGCACAGCACCCTAAGGAAAGCGACCTCTGACCAGGAATTCGGAGTAATAGCAACAGAAGGCCACACATCCACCAGCTGCATGTGCCCTACAACCCTGCTACACTGTTACATGGCTGCTTGACATGATTTCTCGATCAAGACAAGTGGCCACGCTTCAAATATTTACATCTCCAAATAATTAAAAGCAGAGGCACTCCGAGCTCAGACGGACATACTTTTGACTAGGTCTAAGTTGCATGAGATGCGTCATGGCACGGCATGCACACTGCCAAGCGCTGAATACCAGTGGTCAGCACAATCCCCAAAGCAAAGAAACAGAAAACTATTATGGCTGACGATCTGGCTGACGGGTAGCGGAGTTGGAGGGTCTGATCCGAATTACCTACAGTTAGTTCAATGAACAACAGATAATACTGGACACCGCTTCGAAATTTTTCTCGAAGTTAAGTGACACGAATATGCCTGCCCCGGCGATCAAGCCAAGTATTGAAAGTGTCGGACTGCGCACTCTCGGAAGCCTGCACCTAGCTACTGGAGGCTCCGATTCCCTAAGCTTACCCATGGGGGAGTCTACAGGTTGCAGCTTCGACGCTCGGCAGGCTTCGTATGACTCGCGTGGCAGCGACACAGATTCGACCCAAAGACTGACTCCAAACAGGATGTGGGGCGCTGGGTCAGCAGGGTCCAGTCTGCATCTTGAGATTCCTGATGACCCTAGAGCCCCACATCCCGCACACACTCGTGTTACTGCTTCCGCACCTCGCATCTCCGACACTCCTTGAGTGTCGGTCCCTTGCCCAGTTCACAGGTTATGCCAACTCACTCCGAGCTGATATCTGCTCCAAGGATTGCCCATCTCGGAAGGATTGCGCTGCTCCGAAACTGCGGTTAGGCCCAAACTCTACTGCGCATCTTGTGAACTGGCTGGCTGCTCGTGCGGGGTCGCAAATGGTCGACACCTCCCTTTACTTTGCTGCGGCCCAAGAAAAGGATTCTTTCCTTTGCAACACAGAGGTGCATCGTGTCGGCAACCCCACAGAGCCGTGACCCTACACCTGGTCACATGCAGCCGTTGTGCGAATCTTTCCAACAGCTACCGCGTGCGTAGCCCCAACGCAGTGCTGGCTAGAACAAGTGTGCAGGAGCCGTCAATCAGTCGAAAGCCCGAGACCTCGATACTGTCTTGCCTAAGGAGTGTTTCCGATAGTTGTAGTATGTTGTATTACTCTTATGGCGACAGTGATCAGGACCGCTTAGCTTTACTCAACCTTTGAGTATACCCTGTTTCCACAGCATAACGAGAACTCGGGCCGCTCAATACTCAAGCTCTACTCCTGGATGGCCTGGCCACAGGATGGTTGTTCAGGCTTTGGGATTTAAGGTTACGGTTCAGGATTTCGGATTCAGGATGTCAAATTCATGCTAGGGGTTTCGGCGCTCACACTCGGAAACTCCAGGCGAGGCTAGGGCGGCTAAGGGTTTAAGCGACTTCTTAGTTCTTAGTTGCAGCTACTTCACGAGAAGGGAAACCTTCCTAGACACACAATGCAATTGTACAAAATGCTGTGCACGCATGCTTCTCTATGGCCATCTTCTGGAGCCGGTATGAACATGTGCATGCAGCAAGCGCTGTATTTAAATCACATTGCCTGCATTGCTGGCATTACATCACATTGCATTACATTGTGCATTACATGCATACATGCTCGCATGCCCGTGTGCATGCATGTGCATGCATGCACCCACGCATCCATGCAAGCATGTAAGTGTAAATGCAAACCTACATGCACGCGAAAGGCATGCATGTAAGCGTACATTCAAACCTACATGCATACATATAGACATGCATACGGACATACATAATACATACATACAGACATACATACATAAAGCTACAGACATCTAAATGAACGCACATTTATGCTTACGTCATGCGTGCGTACAAACACATGAACACATCCGCACTACATGATATTGTGCATGGAATCAAATATCCATGTATGCATTGGCTCCAGACTGGAGTGCACGAATGCATGCATCCCTTTATGAAACTACCTAGTTGCCGACATTTTGGTTCCAACATATGGCGTCTGAACCCGAACGGCAGCAAACCCTCCCTCCAGGACAAGGCCTCAAGGGTCCGCATGGTCGCTGTACGCCCGAGCCGCCCGCATCGCCCAAGGCAGGCCATTTTTACCCATCCCTCCTGGCCAGGTCTCTTCAGATATTGTACTATGAAGAGTCTGAGTTGCCCATGCATTTCGAAGCAGCGACCACCTTTGACTCTCGAGCCCATCCTTGTCAAAAGCGGAGAGGCTCTGAAGTGCACCTCTCGCCGCTTTCTGCACCGCCGCATTCCCTGGGTGCCTGCAGATCCACTCTCAACTGTGAGCTTTTTTGCCAGCCCCAGTTCGTGCGCACAGAATCAATGCAGGCACCATTCGAGTCATAACCGGTCACATTTGCGATGAAAAAACAAGTGGTTAAAGGTTGAAGCTCCACACGCGTGTACGAGTATTCCTCCATAACATTCCCTGAAGCATATCAGAGCAGCAGATAAGCTAAAGTATGTCCAAAAGGACAGCCGAGTGGCTTTTCAAGTGCCTTTAGCGCCGCCTGAATCGCAGCTGAGAATGTCGCCCGGTCCTGCCCAGACAAACCATTTAGATACGTTGCATCTGCATATATATATATATGTATGTATGTATGTATGTATGTATGTATGTGTGTGTATGTATCTATCTATCTATCTATCTATCTATCTCTGTGTGTGCGTTTGTGCGCACATTCGATCTATCTATCTATCTATCTATCTATATCTCTCTATCTATCTGAATATCTCCCTATCTCTATCTATGTATCTATCTATCTATCCATTTATCTATCTATCTATCTATCTATCTATCTATCTGCTAAAACTGCACGATGATGGATGTCTCTGTGTGTGTGTGTGTGTGCGTGTGCGTGCGTGCGCGCGCGCTCCAGGTTCGCGGATTCAGCCCCTACAGCACAAGAAGCGGCCACTTAGATACCTTGTCATTAAACATCACAGACACACCCGGCTTAATCTCAGAATTCAGCACACAAGAAACCGAGAAAACCTGACCAATCCAACAAGATCCAAATGTCGTATGCTCTCCCCCAGACCCTAAACCCGCATTCTCCACCCACAATAAAAGAATCTCGCCTTGGCGGTGGCCATGTGCTCTGCTAATTCCTGGAGGGCAGGCGGACACATCACGAGCACAGGCAGCTTAGGACTTACGATACGTACAAAAAACCTCAACCCTGTGCTGCAAAAACATCCCAATACAGCCTTTAACTACCAGAGAGTGCAGCGCAGAACGAGCTTCAGTAGGAGCTGAAACTGCCAGTTCTTATGATTCCGGCACCCTGGTTACATTGCATCATCGCTCCATTTACAGCAGCTGGATCGATCTGATAGGTCGCTGGGTGAAACGAATGTGGACACCTCGGCCGTGCAGAGGCCCAAGCCATCGCAGCAGCTGAGGTTGCCTCTTAAACATGCTCTACCAACGCGCGTGCCTACACCCCGAACTTGGTATCCAGAGCGCAGGCCCGCGTGCTGATTCTGTCTGAGTTCTGTTCCCGCAGCTAGAAAACTTGTTGAAGGAGGCTGCGGGAATTGAAAGTCGACAGGCTCTCCATCCTCTCCACCATTGAGTCCGTTGAGAAGCTGCGACTTCTTCCTTTCGCAGGCCAGTGGCTTTTGGGGGGCGGGCGAGGCAGGACTTCTCAAGCACCATCTCGAGCTTCGCAACTAGCCCCTTAAACAGAAGGGACAACTCTAATTGATGGGGTGAGGTCAGGTAACCAGATGCCTCCACCTAAAGGACTCTCTCACCTCTTTGATCCCGAGTGTTTCATGTTGCCACCTCCGAAATTAAACTTGACAAATCATCTTCCTGAACCAACAGCCTTCGAAAAATCGTAGTAGTCCGAGAACGGCCGTGGCTTCTTGGGACTCTGCACTAAAAGATTTCTCCCCTCTGGCCTTTGCGGAGCAACTTCGCCGCCTTCACTCCGCCAAGAGCCTAAGACTCAGACTTCGCAGGAGGAAAGGGCTCAGCAGAGGCTCCGTCCCGGGCCCTTGAAACCGCAACAAGTCTCCGAAACTCCCTGACTGCCCTTGATGACCTTTCGTGGTCGTTGCGCGCCTCCTCAGGCATTCCGAAGTCCAAAGCCCCTCCTCACGCCAAGCCACGCCGGCAGAGCCGCCAACCACGCCGCCGGAGGCAAAACCCAGGGAGGAGCCGATGAAGGCACCCACTGGAATGGAAAGGCCTCGGCTGCGGCAGCTTGGGACATGCTTTGGGCAAGGAGCAAATGGCTGAGGACCTTGGGGTCTGCTTGTTGGCCCCCCCCCCAAAAAAAAAAGGTTGGGATCTGTGCTGAATTCAGCTCTCTCTCAGAATGCCTATCCGAAGCGTTTAGTTTGCTCTTGTCTGTGGAAGATGAAGACGTAAACTGCAAGTGCCGCCATGACGATAATGCCTCCGTCATGTCTTCAGCTTTACACAAACCCTATGATACCTGAACTCCCTGAACTTAAATGTCACGATACATTGTGTTTTACTACTTCGCCTTTCAGTGTGCTCGACAATGGTGCATTTGTCTTCTAAGGTCTCTTTAAGTGTCACATGCATCTACACACTTACATGCATGAGATTCCTACTAATAGTCTCCAGCGAAGCTGCCGAAAGTGAACACTGCAGGGACAAGGCCGATCGCGGCACCGACGGTGCCTGCAACTCTGAGCTGCGCATGTGCTTGCGTGCTAGTTGGTACAGGTGTATATATATATAGATATATATATAGAGACAGAGATATATATATATATACATAGATTTGTATGCATACATATACAATAACATATATATATATACATATATATATATACATATACACACATATGTATATATATATACATATATATATACATATATATACACACACATACACACACATACATACATGTACAGGTTTTGGATGATCTCAGCCACCTGCCTAGCCGACCATGTCGCACTGCAGCCAACAAATCAGGGTGCAAGCACAGGCGAAGGGCACGCAGATGAACCCGAAGATGCCGAAAAATCGCAAGTGAGCAACCAGCAAGGAGAGGTGCCTCCCACGGCAGTGCCGGAGATCGCACCAGTGGTGCTCCCGATGGCTGCCCCCACAGCCCCAGAGAGGACCTTGGTGCCTGGGTTCAGGAGGCAAGTTTTCTTGTTCAAGTGTGCCATGGCTGAACTATACATTCAAGCTTCGGAGTTTCGGCTCCTCCTCCTTGATGTCCTGGAGGCCATGCGCAGGACTTGCAACTTCAAAACAAGTGCGCGCCGAGGCTTGGGGCTCGGGGCTTTCGCAACTACCAGCCTCGAGAGCCAACAAGCGCAAGTCGCAGATGGCCTTTGGCTGCTGCTGCTGCTGCTGCTGCTGCTGCTCCTCTGAGACCGGTCTGAGAGCACCGCATGGTAAAGGCAAAGCCTATTGCAGATCCCACCTGCCCAGTGACAGCCCTGGACTCCAGTGCTTGCAGGCGTTCATGGTTCACCTTCGACTCGCCGAGAACGATGCACCTCACGGTTCTGGAAAAGCATCATGCAAGCAACAGAAGGCACACAAGGGATACGCAAACCACGAAAAGATCATTGCAGCCAGAGTTCAAGCTCAAGAATGCCATCATCATGGAGAAGCCCACCTGTGGCCCGAAGCACGGATCGGGTCAGCGTGCACTGCTAGCCTTCCTGATGTCCGTTCCAGTGTTTACTCAACGCCACGAGCATGTCTGTAGTATGTAACTGTGCTTTCCATCTGTGAAAGAAGTTTGAGCTCTGCAGTGTCTCAAGTACTGCGATGGTTTGCTGAATCATGCTACCACGCGATGTTGCTGCATCCTGCATGCTACGATGCTGCCCTGCAGTCCTTGTACACGTTACAGGTACCCTGCTGCCATATGACATCATACACTTCTATGTACCTCGTCATTTACCAATTCATCAAAAACGAGAAACATGAAAGGATTGAGCGCCTTTGCAAAATGCAGCTTTGGCCCTGCACATTTCCTGTCACAGGCCTGTGTGCAGTTCCCACAGGTGTTCATCAGACAATACACACGGGGTCCTACAAACGCCGCTACCGTGCCAGTGCCTAGATTACAGAATGAACATATGGATGGCTAGATGGTAAGGTGGCAAGACAGGTAGATATACAGATAGATGGGTAATAAGTAGATAAATAGATAGGGGTAGATAGAGGGACAGACGGACGGACGGACGCAGGGACGTACGGACGTACGTCCTACATACACACATACATTTCATCACATGCAAGCATGCATGCGTGTGTGCTTGCGTGCGTGCGTGTGCGCGTGCGGGCATGGACGCACGTACCTGCGTCCTACGTACGGGCATGCATGCGTGCACGTACATAGACATACATATCATACATCCACACATATAACATCAAACAGCGAATAGCAAAGTTGTCACGGCCTCTGTTGCACTATGTTGAGTGTCAGATCATGGCATATCAGGTCACGAACCTACTGCCTCACCATGCTCTAAACGATTCCAGAGCCAGGGCGCGGCAATCAGCCAGAGGACAGACGAGAGGCTCGGGAGCTCGACTAAATACTCCTGCATGGTGGATTTAGGATTTCCGCGCTTGATAACAGATGCTTCTGGCACAGGCGGACCTTGATGAAAGTGTCAGATGCAAAGCGGGAGATTCTATTCGCACTGGCTTTCGCACTCAGGCTGAGCGAGGATGTCACTTGTTGCTGCTTTTGAGATGACACGCTTCTGATTCCTACCGTCTGCAGTGCTTGGAAGGCATGCTCGTCCATGCAAATCTGGCCTGCTACCAGCAATTACACAGTTGGCAGATTTTGAGCAACATGCAACAGTTTGCAGGAACACTGCTCCAGTGCTTTGCTTGAGTCCCTTCTTCCTAGTCTAGCTTCTCTCCTGGCGGGCTCCGCTGCTGGAGTTGCTTGCGTTGCAAGCAACCGGAAGACCTGAAGAGGCGACTGTCAGTCGCGCTGAATGGTAGAGACTCCCCGCTGAGCTTATAGTAATAGTATAGTATGGTATAGTATAGTACAGTATAGTATAGTATGGGGACAGCCACAGCCGAACAGGCGACCGAGGTCAGAACTCTGCAGCGTGTTGGAGACGTTCGCCACGCTTTCCAGCAATGACCTTGCCGGGGGTTCTCTCTGCTTTATTTCAGCGAGTCCACGTGGCATGGAACCGAGGAGCCGAGTCCGAGTGGACTCGAACCGGATTAGAGTAGCATTCAATCATCACCTCGAAAGGATGCTACCTTTTTTTCCCTCCCAATTAGGATGCTACTTAGATCTTTCGGTTGGTCGGTTTCCACACTGCCTGAAGCCTACCTGTCACCAGACATGGTCATTGGCAGTCTGCAGTTTCCTCCTCCACCAGACATGGCGAATGGAGACGGCCAAGACTAGCATGCCTTTCCGCTCAGCGGACACGCCCGGCAGAGCGCAACAGAGTCTAACATCTGGACAGCCCGCTCAGGCAAAAAAAAACGCGCCGCGAACTCCAAGACTGGACTGCGTCCGAGCTGCCCATCGGCCAACTTCTTCAGGCCGTCGCGGACTTGTGCAGTCGACAGCATTTCCAAAGCATCGGCCTTCAGCGGGGGCACGTCGCTTGAGGAGAGGCGCACCACAGACTGCTCCCATGTGCAAACACTGGATAATTTCCGTCACTGGCCTTTGTGGACAGGAGGGCTTCGAGCTGCTCCACGCGCTTCGCCAGCCTTTCTCGGGAAGTCGGACACGTCCCGCGCGTTAAGGGTTTCTAAGGTTTGGACTCGGACAGATCTCGCTGTTGGCAAGCAAGCGGCTTAGCACACTCATCACACCGAGTATTTCGCGCCGAAGCCGCACCGGCTGTGGGGGCCACCGCGGCCAACACGACCAAAGAAAACAGTCGCATACTGCTCTTGAAGAGCAGGGAGCGAAGCAATGCTAGCAATCCACTGACACTCTCTGGAGCCGTATGCAAGATGACACAAAGCAATGCCATGCAGATTCAGTAGATTCCACGAGTGGGTGGAGGTATGCAGTTCCGGGCCGGGCCTTCAGATAAGCCTAACACTCAGAGCTAGCCATGACGTGTCGACCTAGGATTAAAGCTTCAGAAATCGACTGCTGGTGTTGACGATGTTGCTTTGCTTTTGCTTTGCTTTTGCTGATTGTCATCATGGTGAGTGCTGAACTTGCGACTGCTGCTGGAAGACTGGAAGTGTGAAACGTATGGGCAGGGCTTACCTATACCATATCTCATTCACATGCTAGTTGTTAGGGTGCTGCTCGCTGACCATCTGTCATGCACAAGCTGACCGTTAGTTAGAGTGCCATGCTAGCAACGGCAACCATGACGGCAACATGCATAACATAAACGGTAAAAAGCGTGTATTATGTGAGTAGTTATGCAACCAAGCAGGCAAGCTGGCTGGCAAATGTACTCACACATACATTTTAGCACTCGCACTCGGCAAAGCAGGCGAGGTAATGGGAACATACATGCATGCATACATGCATGCATGCATCCATGCATACATATATGCACTGTAGATGTGCGTGTGTGTGCGCACATGTGTGTGTGTGTGCGCGCACATAAGCGTGTATTCATCATTATCTTATCAGCGACGACCATCTGGCAAACGTCCGAACCACTTAACCATACCAGTCGCGCTACTGAACGCACATAGTGTATGTACATCTTTGAGCTTTCATCATCCCAACAGACAGCAACGATGATAAGAAGCAGAATGGGCAAGGCCGTGTCATGTGGGAGAGTCCGGGTCCTTGAGCAGCCAGCAGCCAGCCTCCTGCACTCGATGCTCGGCTCGATGAGCCTCGAGGGCCTCTGCGAAGGAGAGAGGGAGAGCGAGCGAATAAGGCACCATCACTTCTCTTGCGACACGGGACATGGATGCGTCCTCATAAGATGTGCATTTATGAGGACGAAGGGAGCACCCCTGCCAGGAGCTGCCCCTGCCCTGCATCAGCGCACACGCCGCGCGCCTTCAGCGCAACACGCGCTGCGCCGTACGCGGCCACCTCGCATCTCATTTCTGCGTTGTGAACGCAGAGGCAGAACCTCAGCTGCAAGTACTGGGCAGGTCCCTGGCCCCAGCCCAGCCATGGTTTCGTTGGCACGTCTGCGGTCGATGTACACCAGCTTGCTTGCTGCTACTTCTCGGTTGCAGAAGCAGCAAGGGAGCAAGATGGAGCCAAGCGGCATTGTCCAACAGCCTGCCCATTGCATGGCAGAGCTGTCGCTGTGCATAGACATGGCGTCGAGGACGACCTGCCAGGACATACACCAAGACAGGGACACCTGCAGCCAGAGCCGTCTGATGCAGAACTCTTCGTCGGGTCTGCACACTACGAAAGGTGTCTGTGGGGTCTCATGAACCCTTCAAGAAACTTACCAGCAGCTCGCACCTGAATTCCTCCTCGCGACACCACTGCTTGCTGCTGTTCGGAGTTGCAGGCTGCAAGATTTCGCAGCACTCCGCAACCCATCACCTGCAACACTTCGACGAGATCAATTCCTCTGATTCTTTAACTTTGGGCGGAGTTTTCGAAGCTGCTACTCTGCGAGGCTCTGTCTCGAGGCCTGCCTTCCTTCAGTGGAAGTTGCTTCCCTTTGCTCTTTTAATGCCCAAAACGTGACTGCCTACAAATACCCATCATCACAGATGCAGCGGTAGAAGCTGTTGCCGCCACGACAGCGGTTGAGAAATGTACCGCAGCTCCTTTTCGCGAACCCCTTGGAGGCCCTCACCCCCGTGGCCTGGAGGTTCGGCACGTGCGGGTTGGCCTGCGCTCAATCCGGGACGGAGCCAGTGGCCATCCAAGAGGCCATTTCGACTCTCGCGCTGCTTTTTTTGACACACCCATGCTAGATCATCATGACAAGGCTGAAGCTGCCTCCATGGCCCTAAGGACCACTTGGATGCCACCTCGCATGTAGATGTCTTCTTGACCTCGGCTTCCGAGCCCGGAGATCCAGCCCTGCATGGGCCTGGGGGTTTACATCGTTTTGGTGGCAATCTGGGCTCCAAGGCCTAGGTCTCCAGAACTGCGGCGAGGATGCCATCTTGGCAAGTAACTAGGGCTCCTTACACATATCACTGTTCACCTAAGCGACCAGGCAACAACATGGAAACACAAACGACCATGCCTTGCATGCAACAGAAGCCTGTTGCCAGTGTCCACGCCCGAACGCAATGACTCATGATCTTTGCCACCGAGAGGCTTTCGGCATTGTAGGCCGCAAACTCCTTCAGGGCCTGACAGCCAAGCTCCTGGAAACCAGGCGGTTCTTTGACTTCAGCCGCATGGATGCGTACCTTGTGGCGTGATGTACGTGCGATTCACAGGCGACAGAACGTCCTGGACTGCTGCTACGGAAGAATGCGCTCTCATCGCGTCGAGAACTGCCTGGCGATGACTTCTCAGCCACGTCGGGAGAGCGTTATGTGTCTTTCGTCCCTGCTGTGCCTGAGCAGCACCAGATTTGGCTACCTTCCTCAGTGGAGCACCATGCAGCGCACGGCAAGTGCGCCCTCCGTCCCCGGCTGCAAAATTAACATGAAGGGTCGGCGTATTTCGATTCAAGCATCTCTTGGCATTTGGCATCACACATTGCGACGCTGCACAAGATCTTGCAAGCTGCGCTCTGCAGATCTGCCTGCGTGAGGAGCGCTCCAAAACCCGCACAATGCTACATGTAGAACGGCTTCCACTTTGTCTGGTCCATGACTACATCGTGATACGCATCCTTCCAGAAGCTCTGCGTGCCGCTGTGGCCTTGCTCAGGTCCAACCTCATTGCGCCTCAGCACGCGATCTTCCAATGCGTGGAGGCACTGTGGCATACTGTGGCTCTGTGGCGCCACGTCAGCTTGTCCGTGCCGGGCTGCTTAAAACTGCCTCGACGCCATGGGCCTCCACCATGGCTGCGCCAGTAGCGGAGTTGTTGGCGATCATCCTGAGGCGTCAGGGCTCGGCTCACAGGACCCTACAAAAACCTTGAAAAAAGCCGCCAAGACCTCTTTTCCGATGCTCCACATCCGCGTTCTCGCTCTGAATTTTCAGAAGCGAGCACTGTCCCAAGAGGCCCGCAAGAGCCTGGTAGCTTTGGTGTCCAGAGCCCAGGCTCGTGGGCTACTAGAATCTGCTAGAATTGATTGGAGATTCACCGCTGGTTCCGAGTCGCATCACTCGAGGTGCGGACCAGTGGAACAGTCGAGGCGGCTGCCACGCGCTCCACGCGGTTCACCGCCCTGGCACTTTCCTTGTTCCAGTCGATCTGCCAGACCGCCACCATGCATGGAATGGTGTGAACTATCTTGCCAATACAGTGAGCAGCGCAGAGGCCATGCACCCTCCACTTGAACCCAAAAGCAAAAAGCATCGCAAGGGGAAAGCTGACGAAGACGTAGCCTCGAATTGCCCATTTGCCACTGATGCTCTGCTGACCACAGGCAGACAGGACACCATTGTAGTAGGCAAGTATAGCATCCAAGCTGCTATACAATAGCATGAGCCACACCAGAGTGCTAAGTAGCTTCAGAACATCCTCGTCCGTTGTAAACATTAAGCCCCACTGCCGGGTGAAGACTAGAAGTGCCACGGAAGGCAAGCATATCCAAATCAGTATAAGCCTCAAACCTGCTCGGCTGGAGACCGCTGCCTGCAGCGGTTCCTCGGCCCCTAGCTGGTTCCCGACTCGAGCGCTGATGGCCATGCGAATGCCGCTTGGAATCTGGTAGCAGGTCGTCTGGGTGAGCTGATAGATGGACAACGCAGACAGGCAGGTGTCAGGATCTGGGAGCAAGCTTGCGGCAAAGACCAGCGACTCTCCCACGAAGTATTCCGTGTTCATCAAAACACCCGGAATGGCCACCTCCAGGTATGGACCCCAGTCTTTGAGGCCCTGTCTCGTAAAGCCTTTCCAGGAGGCAGCACAAGCAGAGGAACAAGAGATGTAGCAATACAGAAGCCCAGCTTGCAGGGCCGTACTGAGCGTCATGGCGACACCGGCGCCTTCGTAGCGAAAGTTGCTAAAAGCTGTAGCCGCCACAGTCATGGCCGCATGTAGGGGCAATGCAACAACCTCGGAACGCAAGGACGCTGCAAAACTTAAAATCTTCTCACGATGTCATGGTGGTGACGCCAAGCGGCAATGGCCACTAATCGTGGCATGTTGATCTTTTGAGAAACCAACCACATGCCGATGGACCGCTGTACGCCCATGCAAGGCGTCACGAGGAGCACACAGAAGGCGTAGCGGCCAGCGACATTGGCAAAGTCTTCGGTCATGTGAAGTGCAAGGAGCAGTGGCCGCATCACAAGCAGCAGCGCCACACAAGGCAGAGAGCCAAGCAGGCCAACCAGGATGGCCCGCTGCAGTACCAGGCTCAAGGCCTCGTCATTCCGAGCTCCATGGGCCTGAGACGCCAGTGTCGCAATGCCCATAGAAAGGCCGCCCACCACTGAGACGCCCAGGACGTTGTTCACACTGCTGGAGAGTGTAACAGGTCCCATAATCTCTTCCCCCAAGTGCCCTACACAGATCCAGGTTACCCAAACTGCAGCACGCTGGAGCAGGTTCGCACCAGCAACAGGAAGGGCAAACTTGAACTGGATCCATGCCTCCCGCCAATGCTCCACCGAAGTCATGGCCAAGCGCCGGGGCTCTCAGGCCACCAAGCCCTCTAACTGAGTTGCTTCTATAGCTTGTCCTCTGCATATGCGGCTGCAAACTTCGATGTCGACTATGTCTACTTCAAGCCGCTAACCGCTGGATACATATAAGCCATCACTTCTGCGAGGAAGTAAGCATTTCAGGGCATGTACTGTAACTGGCGAGGCTAGAAGACATTGATCTGAGCGTCCTCTCCAAACAGTTCAGTCCGGCCAGCTGTACGCCAATGACTTTGTGGTGTTCCATGGCCTTCACCTGAGGACATGGCTGTTTTATGTTATGGGAATCCTTCAGGTCTCCGGTTATCCGAATTTGCTGTGATTTGCCCAAGTATCTGGACGACGAAACGGCATCAGCCTTGCTCTGCGAAAGCTAGTCAAGCTAAGTGGCAACTGCAGCGATACCTCCGTGGTGAGCCACCTGTGGGCGCTGGGTCGCTTCAGTTCAAGCTTTCTCTGAACGTCTTACATAGTGACACCAACTCACAACAGAACTCACATCAGTTCTTTGCTCGCCTCTTCTTGGCCCTCACTGTCTGGGACCAAACGCTTCAGCGAATCACATCCTGCAAGTGGCTCAGGTAGTAATTGCCACGTGTTTTAAAGGAAAGCAAGCACTTGGTACATACAGTAAACTACAGTACTCGGCCGCAAAAGCCCAGTCCTTTCTCCTGCACCTGTGGATTTCCCACGGACGCCTTCATCATCTTCAGCACGTCTTCAACGTCTGTCCTCGGCTTGCAGCCGCACAGCTCATGGTAAGTACTTCAGATCTTTCTCGCGCCATGGAGGTTCTTGAGTTCAGATCAGCTCTCAATTCTGGTGCGTGATGGAAATGGTATGACGGCCAAAGCAAGCAGCAGCTCAAATGCTCCCGAAAGATCTGCTCGAATGTCTAGATGCAGCGGTCAAGTCTAGCCAACTCAGTGGGAACATCTTGCTGCCGCAGGCTCTGAGAAAGGTGGGTGCTACATGTAATCGCTGGCTCATCGTTTAGCCGCCCTGACTGATTAACAAGAGAATCATGTTGCAGACTGCGCTTGTAACTGTGCACGTCATTGACCATCAGGACGGCTACTGCGGCCAATGCCGCGGTGCCTGTGAACTACCATACTCTCGCCCTTCCGCAGCACCTCCTACTCCTCCTCGTCCTCTCTCCTTCCTCCTCAGTACTTCCCCACTATTACTACTACTACTACTA